TGACTAGTTTCTAGAACAGTCTATGGATTAGTCAATTGACTAGTCTCTGGTCTAGTCAATTAATTAGTCTATGGAGTTATCTGGTCTAGTCTAGTAAATAACTAGTCTCTGCACTATTTTTTGAACTAGTGTATATTCTAGTCTCTGTACTAGTCCATTGAATAGTCTATAAACTATTGTCTGGAGTAGTCTATGGACTTATTGCCGATATAATCATCACCAATAAATTATTTTACATCATTATGTCAATTAACATTAACACTTAGACTTTTAGCACTAAATTGTAATTAATGTTCCTCTAGGAGTTCCATAGTTTTAAAGAATAAACCAAATGTATCCGATGAACGAAGTGCCATTGAGTATTATGATTCCATGCACAATTACACCGACGATTTAAGAATTTTACAAAAGGATTTAAGACGTAAAATAAAGTAAGTAATTACCACAACAAAAACTCTTGTCTGGCAGAAGTGAAATAAATCGTTTTTTTTTAATTCTTAAGGGAATATGTCGATGAACAGTTAAGAGATGCTGCCAAAAAGGAAGCTGTGGGTATAGGTATTCTAGTGGTAGTTTTGTGTGTATCGCCCATTATAATTATATTAGTGAAAAATGCAGCGGCCACCATACAGGTGGGTGGAAAATTGACATTTATAATGAATAAATTATTTTTTAATAATACTTCATATTATTATTAGATGTACGCTTTAAATTTGGCCCAAAAAGCCAAAGAATTGAAAAGGGAAAAACGTAAAAGTGATTCTTTACTCTTTCAAATGTTGCCACCCAGTGTGGCCATGCAGTTGAAACACACGCAACAGGTGAGTGAATGATGATAACAAACGGAAATAAAGAATAAACATCTGTAGGTTATTAAATTACAATTAAACTATTTACTTTACGCATTTTCTATTTGTCTTTTTAGGTGCCAGCAGAACTATATGAATCGGCTACAATATATTTTAGTGATATTGTAGGTTTTACGGAAATTGCCGCCCGTTGCACCCCTTTAGAGGTTTGTATAATTTTGCTAGTGTTTATGTAGGTCATCATCATCATCATCATCTTATTTATAAACATAAATAAATAAACAAACACACAAGCAACTGCACTTGAAACATTTACTAGACTTGCTCTCTTCTCTCTTACTCTACTTTTAACAATTTCTCACCTTAAATTACACACTCCACAAATACACACAACATATACATACATACATTCAACGTAAATAACGCAAAACGGAAATTAATGTAAACATACAAACAACAAAACAACAACAACAACACAATAAAAATATAGTATAATAAAAACAAATTATTTTTCTATGTTTGTGTGCGTGCTTTGTTTCTTTGAACATGCTGCTACATGTCTTCGCGTACGATATCCTTTCACTCCAACTGAATATGTGATGTGACGATGATAATGATGATGCATCGTTGGATGGTTGCTTTCATGAATTTTAACGGATGATGATGGGTATTGGCAAAAAGGTGGTTACATTTTTAAATTCGATTTATCGTGTATTCGATGAACGCATTGAATGTTATGATGTTTACAAAGTTGAAACTATTGGTGATTCTTATATGGTTGCATCTGGATTGCCGGTTAAAAATGGTAAGCTAAAAAATCATTTGACAGTTATTTTTAACGGAATTATTTAAAGCAATCGGATAAAACTTTTGATTAAAATTTAACTACAACAACAACTTTTGTGTGGAATATTTTGTGTAAAATATATTTTCCTAATTTTGTTTTTTTTGTCCTTTTTTCTTAATTTTTACATTTAGGCAACAAACATTTTAGTGAAATTGCAACAATGGCACTTGATTTGCTAGACGCCTCGTCCTTTTTTAAAATACCACGTTCCATAGAAACACTACAAATACGTTGTGGCGTACATACCGGACCAGTGGTGGCTGGTATTGTTGGTACAAAAATGCCACGTTACTGTCTATTTGGTGATACGGTCAATACAGCATCACGTATGGAATCGACGGGGGAAGCGCATAAAATACATATTACTGAGGAAATGCATCAGGCTCTAATGAAAGTGGGTGGTTTTAAAACAGAACATCGTGGTCTTATAGATGTTAAGGTAAAATGAGCACGTAAATGTATGGAAATTTTTTCCACATTGTATTTTTTTACATTTTTTAGGGCAAAGGACTGATGAACACCTATTGGCTGACCTGCAAAGATGGTCCGGTTAGAGTGCGTGAAGAAATCTCTTGGTTTGCTGATATGCAACCTGTGTTTTTGGAAAATTTGAAATTAGAACCGGCCTATAAAAGTAGCAAACAGAAAAAATGAAATTCTATCAATCATGTTGTGTTTCCTTTCTATTCGTTTTCAAGTCATCACCATCGCAGCAACCACAAACCCACCAACAAATATCCATATAGTTAAATTCAATTAATAATACTAAATGATAAAAATAGTAATATGTAGTAAATTAATGTTGTTGTAGTATTAAAAATAGTTAGAAATATATGTTTGTCTGTATGTACTTTAATGTATCTATCATTGGCATTTGTAATGTCATCTATCACTAACATCTGTCTAATGATTAGTTTGTTCACTTGGCCCAGACAACCATACGGTTACAAACTTAAATAAAATGAATCTTATAGATACATGTGTATCTTTTTACATTAGGGTCATAACTTTTATACTATTTATGAAATTATGAAAACATTCCGTAATGTGTGTTAGGAAATATTAAATTAAATTAAAAATTGTTTATATAATATACGAAAAATATTTTAAATTCTTAAAAATAGTTTTAGTTTTAAACTTATTTATTTGGTTATCTCCCTAATGTTCATTGTACATTCGTAACTTGTCACAGTAATTGACTGCAGCCATATGAATTATTGCGACAAAACAAACGACCTTCATTTTTTCATCTCCACTTATATGATTATCTGAAAAATATTACTTTTATTTTACACAAATAGTAATAGTTACACACACTCACACATATTTACAATGAACAGTCGGTGGAAAAAGTAAGTCGGTAGTTAATAGACTATACTAAGGTGGAGTCCAGGCTATAGTACAGACTATACTAATGTTAAGCCTGTAGTGCAGACTATACTAAAGTCTAGACTATAGTCCAGACTAGACTATAGACTAGACAATAGACTAGACTATATACTAGACTATAGACTAGACTATAGACTAGACTATAGACTAGACTATAGACTAGACTATAGACTAGACTATAGACTAGACTATAGACTAGACTATAGACTAGACTATAGACTAGACTATAGACTAGACTATAGACTAGACTATAGACTAGACTATAGACTAGACTATAGACTAGACTATAGACTAGACTATAGACTAGACTATAGACTAGACTATAGACTAGACTATAGACTAGACTATAGACTAGACTATAGACTAGACTATAGACTAGACTATAGACTAGACTAGACTAGACTAGACTAGACTATAGACTAGACTAGACTATAGACTAGACTAGACTATAGACTAGACTAGACTATAGACTAGACTAGACTATAGACTAGACTATAGACTAGACTATAGACTAGACTATAGACTAGACTAGACTAGACTATAGACTAGACTATAGACTAGACTATAGACTAGACTATAGACTAGACTACAGACTAGACTATAGACTAGACTATAGACTAGACTATAGACTAGACTATAGACTAGACTATAGACTAGACTATAGACTAGACTATAGACTAGACTATAGACTAGACTATAGACTAGACTATAGACTAGACTATAGACTAGACTATAGACTAGACTATAGACTAGACTATAGACTAGACTATAGACTAGACTATAGACTAGACTATAGACTAGACTATAGACTAGACTATAGACTAGACTATAGACTACTAGACTATAGACTAGACTATAGACTAGACTATAGACTAGACTATAGACTAGACTATAGACTAGACTATAGACTAGACTATAGACTAGACTATAGACTAGACTATAGACTAGACTATAGACTAGACTATAGACTAGACTATAGACTAGACTATAGACTAGACTATAGACTAGACTATAGACTAGACTATAGACTAGACTATAGACTAGACTATAGACTAGACTATAGACTAGACTATAGACTAGACTATAGACTAGACTATAGACTAGACTATAGACTAGACTATAGACTAGACTATAGACTAGACTATAGACTAGACTATAGACTAGACTATAGACTAGACTATAGACTAGACTATAGACTAGACTATAGACTAGACTATAGACTAGACTATAGACTAGACTATAGACTAGACTATAGACTAGACTATAGACTAGACTATAGACTAGACTATAGACTAGACTATAGACTAGACTATAGACTAGACTATAGACTAGACTATAGACTAGACTATAGACTAGACTATAGACTAGACTATAGACTAGACTATAGACTAGACTATAGACTAGACTATAGACTAGACTATAGACTAGACTATAGACTAGACTATAGACTAGACTATAGACTAGACTATAGACTAGACTATAGACTAGACTATAGACTAGACTATAGACTAGACTATAGACTAGACTATAGACTAGACTATAGACTAGACTATAGACTAGACTATAGACTAGACTAGACTATAGACTAGACTAGACTATAGACTAGACTAGACTATAGACTAGACTAGACTAGACTATAGACTAGACGAATAGACTGACTATAGACTAGACTAGACTAGACTATAGACTAGACTATAGACTAGACTATGACTAGACTATAGATAGACTATAGACTAGACTATAGACTAGACTATAGACTAGACTATAGACTAGACTATAGACTAGACTAGACTATAGACTAGACTATAGACTAGACTATAGACTAGACTATAGACTAGACTATAGACTAGACTATAGACTAGACTATAGACTAGACTATAGACTAGACTATAGACTAGACTATAGACTCGACTATAGACTAGACTATAGACTAGACTATAGACTAGACTATAGACTAGACTATAGGACTAGACTATAGACTAGACTACTAGACTAGACTATAGACTAGACTATAGACTAGACTATAGACTAGACTATAGACTAGACTATAGACTAGACTATAGACTAGACTATAGACTAGACTATAGACTAGACTATAGACTAGACTATAGACTAGACTATAGACTAGACTATAGACTAGACTATAGACTACTAGACTATAGACTAGGACTATAGACTAGACTATAGACTAGACTATAGACTAGACTATAGACTAGACTATAGACTAGGGGGTTGGACCTTTATAGACTATCGACTAGACTAGACTATAGGACTTAGACTAGACTCTCGACTAGACTAGACTATAGGACTATAGACTATAAGACTAGGACTCCATAGACTAGACTAGACTATAGCACTAGCCTAATAGACTCGACTATAGACTAGACTATAGACTAGACTATAGACTAGACTATAGACTAGACTATAGACTAGACTATAGACTAGACTATAGACTAGACTATAGACTAGACTATAGACTAGACTATAGACTAGACTATAGACTAGACTATAGACTAGACTATAGACTAGACTATAGACTAGACTATAGACTAGACTATAGACTAGACTATAGACTAGACTATAGACTAGACTATAGACTAGACTATAGACTAGACTATAGACTAGACTATAGACTAGACTAATAGACTAGACTATAGACTAGACTATAGACTAGACTATAGACTAGACCTATAGACTAGACTATAGACTAGACTATAGACTAGACTATAGACTAGACTATAGACTAGACTATAGACTAGACTATAGACTAGACTATAGACTAGACTATAGACTAGACTATAGACTAGACTATAGACTAGACTATAGACTAGACTATAGACTAGACTATAGACTAGACTATAGACTAGACTATAGACCTAGACTATAGACTAGACTATAGACTAGACTATAGACTAGACTATAGACTAGACTATAGACTAGACTATAGACTAGACTATAGACTAGACTATAGACTAGACTATAGACTAGACTATAGACTAGACTATAGACTAGACTATAAGACTAGACTCTACTAGACTAGACTATAGACTAGACTATAGACTAGACTATAGACTAGACTATAGACTAGACTATAGACTAGACTATAGACTAGACTATAGACTAGACTATAGACTAGACTATAGACTAGACTATAGACTAGACTATAGACTAGACTATAGACTAGACTATAGACTAGACTATAGACTAGACTATAGACTAGACTATAGACTAGACTATAGACTAGACTATAGACTAGACTATAGACTAGACTATAGACTAGACTATAGACTAGACTATAGACTAGACTATAGACTAGACTATAGACTAGACTATAGACTAGACTATAGACTAGACTATAGACTAGACTATAGACTAGACTATAGACTAGACTATAGACTAGACTATAGACTAGACTATAGACTAGACTATAGACTAGACTATAGACTAGACTATAGACTAGACTATAGACTAGACTATAGACTAGACTATAGACTAGACTATAGACTAGACTATAGACTAGACTATAGACTAGACTATAGACTAGACTATAGACTAGACTATAGACTAGACTATAGACTAGACTATAGACTAGACTATAGACTAGACTATAGACTAGACTATAGACTAGACTATAGACTAGACTATAGACTAGACTATAGACTAGACTATAGGACTAGACTATAGACTAGACTATAGACTAGACTATAGACTAGACTATAGACTAGACTATAGACTAGACTATAGATAGACTATAGACTAGACTATAGACTAGACTATAGACTAGACTATAGACTAGACTATAGACTAGACTATAGACTAGGACTATAGACTAGACTATAGACTAGACTATAGACTAGACTATAGACTAGACTAGACTATAGACTAGGACTATAGACTAGACTACTATAGACTAGACTATAGACTAGACTATAGACTAGACTATAGACTAGACTATAGACTAGACTATAGACTAGACTATAGACTAGACTATAGACTAGACTATAGACTAGACTATAGACTAGACTATAGACTAGATATAGACTAGACTATAGACTTGACCGTAGATTTAGTACATTTTCGAAAACAATTTAAAAATTTTAATAAATTGAAAATTATTTTCAATTCATGTTCAAAATATAAGCAGTTTTAGATATGTTCGAAAAGTTTCAAAAATTCGAACTTATGTTCGAATAATTTTTAAAACTGTTAAAATAATCTCGATAGGATAATAATATAATTTTTTCAATTTCAAACTTAAAATGTTCAATGATTTTTCATTTAGTTTCATAATATTAACTTTTTAAGATATGTTCGAAAATTTAAACTTGTTCGAAAATTTAAACTTGTTCGAAAATTTTTTAATCTATTAAAATAGTCTGTAATCATAGGGGTTCATAAAAATTAAATTTTAATTCAATTTAAAACAAAATTCGAAAAAAAATTTTTTTAATATTT